TTGGACGCCCTGCCGCGCTCTGCGGTCAGACCCCCATCCCACCCCCTCCTTTTCTGCGCTGTAAGGCAGTGGCTGGTTGAGGTGCGAAAACGAGAGCTCTATGTTAACGTACAGGATCAAAGAGTAAACAGAGTAAAAATAGCTTAAGACCACTGCTTAGGAGAGCACCAAACGCCGGAGAGAGAGCTCGTTGGACGCTCTTTGATTTGAAAATGAAATTATATACATCGGTATTGCTGCAATATCTTGAATAGTGGATGTGTTTGAAAAGAAAATATATATTCCTAAAATACTCTACGGGTTATTTTGTTATCTGGGAATTGCAACTTAAGCACGTGCCATCACTGTCCGCGTGTCAAACCATTCGCCCACCCCATGTGTTAACATATTTGATGCATTAAAGTTATAATTTTATTTTCCTAGTACAGTATGCCGTATGTAAATAAAATCTCTAATGGCCCCGAGGGGCCTGCAATTGTAGGTGCCCCTGCTTGTTTTGGGTTGTGCGCGCGTACGGGCACACACACAGAGAACACGAGCCACTTGGCCGCGCGGCGGGTCGTCCTTGGGAAACGCATCTCCTTGGCGAAAGCAGCCGGTCAATACGAGCGCCGGCGGGGGCCAAGGTCACCGCGACAAGCGCCTCTCGCTGCCCGGACCGCCGCCCCCCCCCTTCCCACCCTCGCGCAGCACGGAGCGAACGAAGTCCCCAGGACACCCAGCGCAGAGCACCCCGGTGAAAGACAACAGAACATCGAAACTCGGAAATTTTCAATAATCCGAACAAAATTCGAGGTGGAGGAAAAATAAAATTAATAAATTGCTTATTCGTAGTGTAAAGAAAGGCTTTTATAATTACTGTAGAACTGAACCTATAATTATTGGAACAAGTTGCCGAAATGAAACATTTATTGCACTGGTAACTACGATGTATGCCACATGTTTATGTGATAGTAATTTTCACTTGACAAACCAAGACAAACTTGCCAAAAAGCAGTAATCTTTTGGACGTAAGGAAATTGACATATCGTATATTTAATAATATAATATAATATATAATCATATATATATATATATATATATATATATATATATGGTACATTTTTCATGATAATTCGAACATATCCGAATCTGAACAGACCACATCCCCAATTAGTTTCGACTACCCGGGTTCTGCTGTATTTGCAAAACGCACAATCTTTGAAAATTATTAGACTCAACCACACTGCATCTAGTAAACAAAATTATATACGTGGCTTGGTGCAAGAACGGTCAAGGTCAGTTTTTAGAGATTTTCAATATGCACGATAAATGTGTGTTTTAAAGCATTTTCTTTCATTGCAAGAAAGGCCAAACCCAAAAGTCGATACTATATGTTTTCACTATCGAACTTTACATTGGCCTACAATTGTTTTGTCATTTCTATAGTGCAGAGAAAGAAAACGTATCCATTCTGTGAAAATTTCTGGCTGAAATTGGTCCTTCTTGCTGCAAGCCCCATATATATTCATTGTGCGTACTAATAGAAATTAATACAAATTAATAGAAATTTAAAAAATCTAGTTGACGAAGTGGCTTTATGCTTCATCGCATGTTTGAAAGTAATGTTTGCAAAACTTGTATCGGTGGTGATTCATAACGCCTCTTAAGACATCTCCATGCCTTCTGCATTCGCCGAGCAGCGACCCACTGCGAGCCGAATGCCAAACAGCCCATATGCTTTGCGCGCTGAGTAGGGCGAAGAGGAAAACACCCATCGACAGTCGTCCACAGGGCGAGCGGTGGCTCGCTACTTGCGGAATACACAATACGTGGAGCAGCCTTTACAGCATAATTAAATGAATATGAGATGACTCTAAGAAAGGACCGCTTTGGCGGCTGCTGCTTCACCATTGCTGACAACTTAACTGCAACTTACGTCCATGCACTCAATTTGTGTATGTGTTCGTTTACCGTTACCTCTTTTGTAAGTGAATTCATCAGTACCTTTTGCAATGTCATCACCCTGTATGGCGTTTGTTTGTTTCCCTATCTGTCAAAGTGGTCCCTTCTTAGGGTCATTCTTCCCTACCAACTGGCAGTACCCTGATACGGCATGACACCAAATGCTATAGCGACAATACAGAAGAGAGAGCGATATAACGGGAGGCACTTGAAGCTAGCCATCGTAGTGGCCGGACCTGCCATGAACATTGCCATATCAAGTACGAAGTGTATAAGTTGGAAATATTTTTAGTTTACTTACGATTACGTTCACTCACATTTCGGAGAGTTATTCCAATGTCGTTATACATGAATTGATTTTCTAGTCACCGATTTTCTAGGTCACGTCACTAGGTTCGCTAGTGAGCAGTTGTCTCCCGTTCAAAGCATGAGAAAGGTTCAATGTACCCTGCATTGTTTATTTGATGGCAGTGCAGCACACGGGCTCCAGAGCGAACGAAATTAAACTGTGCGCTTTCAAGCGAAATGACGCCGATACCTCCGCGCAGAGGCATATCTACGGTATGGCGGGCAAGGCACGTGCCATGGGCACCACTCACAAGGGGCTATTTAGAGTGTCCCGCAAAAACGAACACCACCACCCGCAATACGAAGTATCTGGCAGGGGCGCCTTTGCCTGTGCGCCCGCCCCCATTGAGCGTCGCGCGGGGGCGGGGCGTGCATCGCGCTCATTGACGGCGCCGCCGCCATTCACGCGGGGGTGGCAGGGTGGGCGGGGGTGGCGGGGCGTGCGTGGACGTGCGTGGCCGTGCGCAGCGCCCGATCGATCGCCCGCACTGGGTCAACGGGGCGACGCGGCGCGCGGAGCCACGCTGCGCCGGCGCCCGTGTCAAGGCCGCGGCGCTGAATGGTCACCCGGGCGACCGCCGCCATCGATCGCCCCACGCTCGCCCCGCGGCGCGCTCGCGCCATTCACCGCGGCTCCCGTACGCTCGCGGGGCGGCAACAGGCGTCATTCAACGCGGGCGGGCGCAGGGCGCCGGGCGCAGGCGCAGGGCGTGGCGTGGCGGCGCGGGGTCAATGGGCAGCGAAGCGACGCAGACGCCGGCCCGCACCGCGCCGCGCCGGAAAGCGCACGCGGATATAAATCACCCGCGCGGAGGCGGAGACGGACGCGTCGCAAGGGGCGCCGCGGGGCGGGGGCGCGACGCAAAGAACGCGAACGAGCCTTATTGATCCCGCCCGTGCGAGCGCGCGCCGTTGCGCAAGGCCCGCGGCTTGGTAACAGCCGGGCCTGCACCGCTTATCGCGCCGCCGCTTCCGCAGGCCACCGCCGCTGCCGGGGACCAAAATTAGCGCACAACGTAGTAAGCCGCGCCCGGTATTTATAGCGCGGCGGCGGCCAAGCTAGAGACCCGCCCGCGCGCCCGCCGTTGCCGCGGCCGGCTACGCCACGCCGCCGCCTACGCGCACGCGCGCGTGACGTTCCACTTACGCATCGGCCGCGGGCCCGCGCGGTGCGGGCCAGCTGTGTGCGTCGTCGGGCTGCGGCGGGGCCGGCCGGCCTGCACTGGCCAAGGCGGAAAGGCGGAAGGCGACGCCACGCAGCGGCCGGCCGCGCGGACCCACAGCACAGAGCTCTCCCCTCCGCCGCCGCTTTCGCTCTCGCTCGCGCGCGGCGGCGGGAGGGGAGGCGCATACGCAGCTGCCGCGAGCGGGCTACGCGCCCGGTGGCCGGGGCTTTACTCGCCGCCGCCCGCCCACCCCCGGCCACGCCGCGCGCGAGCGCCGTACTGCGCCGTCAAAGGACGCGGCGGCCGCCGCGCGCTCGCCCGTCCGCCCTCACGCCGCCGGGACGCCGCTTCGCAGCGCCGGCCGGCCGTCGCCCGCCCCCGCAGTCACTGGGCCGCTGCAGGGTGGCGCCCGCCTCAACTCGACCTTTGCGTCCGCGCCCGCCAGCCGGCCAATTCGATAGCCATCGGCCGCGCGCGCGCGGACAGCTGGCGACGCGAACGCCACTGCCCGCCGCACTATAATAAGGCGGGCCCCGGAAGGCCCGCAGCGGCTTGCTGATGTTGCAACAGTGCGCGCGCCTCTGCGCCCGACCGCTGCCGCCGCCGCCGGCGCGGGGACCGAATTCCTGGCGGCGGCCCGGCCATTTTCAGCCACCTCCATCCGCCCTCCCCCGCGCACGGTATTATTAGGCCGTCGGCGGGCGTACTACTGGGCCCGCGCGCGTACTACGCCAAGGGGCGCGCGGGGCGAACGACCCGGCGGTCGGATGGCGGTGCGGGCGCGAGCGCTCGCCGCCCCGACACCTGCGCCGCCTCGTCGATACGTCACCGTCGGCGCTGACCATCCGCTCCGCCGCCGCAGCCCGCGGGTCGCACAGCCGCGTCTTGGGCGCGGTGCGTCACGAGCCGGAAGCCCAGGCTTGCGCCTGCGCCGGCCCGACGCGCTCCCGCCCGCCCGCTTGCACTCCGGCCCCGCCGCCCCGTGGAATGCGGTTTGCGCAGCCCCACAAGACACTTTTCGGCCGTGACGTCACGCCCCCGGCCCAAGGTCGAGGTGAAGGACGAGCGCCGCGCCTCGATGCCCGGCGCGAGAGAGACACCCTTCAGCCAGGTGCGCAGGCACCTGTTACGGACGGGCTACTCGCACTCGCCCCGGGCCGGCCCTATCTCGCGCTCAGCTCCGCTCGGCCGGCCGCCCTCGCAGCCATACTCACCCTTGTCCCTATCGCCGGCTCCTGCGCCGCCTCCCCATCACCTGGCACCGCGCAAGAGAACAACGAGAGCCCCTCGTCGCGTCACTCCGAGATCATCCTCTCCCACCAGCGCACAACACGCGACTGACAGGTAGAGCACATGCGGTCGACGCGACCGCCCGCTCGCCCCGACATCTAGCGGGCAAGAGTCCCACTCGCTGCGCGCCCACACGGCGCTCCAGCGAACTACTCAAGAGACAGACGCACCCACGCACGCCCACCCGCTGCACACCCCACGGTGACTACTAAATGCTCATGGGAACGGGGAATCGGGGATGACATATAAGACATTTTATTTTCGACAAATCGTTTTAATGTCCTTTTTAGCACCATACAATGATACCAATCCACACCCACAATTAGGATCTAAAACTCAGCTTTTCAAGTACAATATATATAAAGATTAATTTTCAACACTTCCAGTCCCTGCATATGTGCACCGGGCAGTGATACTTTCTTCATCACAATTGCACAACCCTTCCAGCCACTTACTCACACATACACACGGAATCCACATAGCATGCAACAACAAAAATCACAACACTAAAAATTCTTAAATAAAATAATGTAACAACCCACAAAAGCATTAAGGTGTGTTTCTTGAACCAATTCATCAATTACAGTCTTATAATAGGTAGAGCACCTTAATGCTTTAATTTGCTAATTCCCAGGGGAAAATATAAAGTTGCACTGAGTCCTGGTTTACTAAAAAACAAAGCTGAAGAGTCCCAATTATTATAATACTAATTTTGTGGAAGTCAGTAACAACATTCTTTTGAGACTTTAATCAAGTTCCCCCCTCTAATTATTGTTTTGTTTTATTTTTCATCAATGTATCCAAGAGCAACACACTGCAGGATTCCATTGACAGGAAGGCGGAATAGAAAGCAATCCAATTGCTCCTATACAAACAGCTTAGGCACCTACACAATACTGCACCCCAAGGAGAGTATTTTTGATAAGGTGAGTGATGACTCGGTGGTGCTGTGTGTAGCGACAGGAGGTAGGGTGTTCAGTTTTCTGGACATCCAGCGGGGTGTTAAATGAGCCCACTTCCACTCACAAACAATCTAGTTGTCAAAACCAGCAGATCTCTTCGCTTTTCTTTGCCTGGGACTCTGCTTAGGTGTGCGAGGTGATTTTTCTGCAACAAAAATGATATTCTGAAGACCAGCTTTCATCATGAGTTTACACTAAATCTCTAAAATTACATCAGAGGTTCCTTGGAGTAATTTGCATCAAGGTTGTCAGACATCTTATATTTTGCATCATACAAAAATATGAATGGCTTCCATTTCTAGAAAAATGTATAACACATCCATTTAAATATTTTTTCACAACCGACACTGATTCAAACAAAGATTGATCCTAAACATCCACCTTGAAGGCCATCTCACAGCATCTGCTTTATCCCATGTATATAATGCATAGATGCAAAAGTTCTATACATAAATTGTAAGCTGTAAATAACTAAATTAAAGCAATTTCCATTTTTTAACAAATTTAAACTGTTTTCATAATATGCCTGACTTCTGTTAAAAACCTTGTGGCATTAGAGCAGCTGTTACTTTTGCTTATTCTTTGGAATAGCTATTCAAAATTACAATATTCTACATAGAAGAAGCAAGTATTGCCAACAAGCAAACACTTTTTTTCGTTGGGATTCTAAGGTCTTTAGAGTCATTAGACACACCACCATCCTCACAGCTAAAGTACCTTCCCAATGCTAAAAAAAATGGACATTTGCATTTTACAGATTTCAGAGTTTTCTTTTAAGTTATTTAAAGAAAACATTCCATTAAGGGGAAAAAACTATCATCTATATTGTTGTTTTCCCGTTTTAATTGAATGTTAGCAGTTTTGAAAAACACAAATTTTGTTTAAAATGCAACCTGTGCCATTTTTCAAGCATACTTGTCCTTTGAAAAATAATCTAAAGCCTATTAAGAATTTTTTTAAAAATTCAAATAATGTCAAGCAAAAATTAGACAAACACTACTTATTTTTTCAACAATGTACATGCCCTTTACAAGTCAAAATTTGTACAAGAGTTTTACGTAAGGTAAAATCTACAACCAATATTTTACTTCTGCAATATTAAATTTTGGCAATTTCCAACATTACCAATTTCTCCGGAAACATAATCTGCTATTTTTTGAGCACGTAATGCACAACAAATTTGGAGCCTTTGAGAATTTTTTTTTTATTGCCAATATTTACAACAATATTGTGAGAATTACTCATGTCCAAAAAATTGTACATGAACATATTAAGATCAGTCTATACTTAAACTACACAGATATGAAATCACAAATTTTAGTTAAATTACAAACGTTTGTATCTCCTGCTAAGAGTCAAAAGTGAATTTTTTTTTGTGACTCACGAGCAGACTACTAATTTATAGTAACTTCAGCACTTTCTGTTAAGTGTGGTTCTCACTCTTATGAACAGGTTACTGTGTAATGTTTAGTTCACTAGTGCTCAAGAAGAATAGTTATTGGAATGAGTATTAAAATACAGTTGTTTACAAATATCGTAGCAGGACATTGTCAGCCTTTTCCTCAAAACCAACTGCAAGTTAATAATAACTGTCAATATTATAGGCTCTCATGACACTTTTTCAAACACTTTTATACAGTATCTTCCCTCTCTTAATGAAGTAACAAATTACAATTAAAATGTTTATCTTTTTTTCTTTACAAAAAGAATGAATGAAATAAAATGAAAGCAAAATTTCTCATTTCTCACAATTGAAAAACCATTAACACGAAAAAATTGCCTCAAATAATACATAATTAAATTACATAATTAATTAGATCTTTCATAAGCTGCAATGCTGGCCCAACAGAAAAAACGAACCTTCCAGATGAACGTTCTTGCCAATCATTGAAATACAGTTATCTTACTTTATATGTTCGATGGATTACAGGGAAGCATTACATCAGGTCTCCAAAGAAGTTCTGTTAATAATTATTACAAGACTTATCTTACAATAACAGCACTTTAGTATACACTCAAATTTCATAGTTCTGCACAATTGCTGTCCAAAAACAATATGCTATAGTTTAAATAACACTCCCTTATTTTTTGTTTCATATACTTCTTCACATTTATTGTTATTTCTTCAAAAATTTAATTTTGAAATCCCCTTTCTTTTCAATAGAATGCCAAAGGGCATGTTCGTATTAGAAAATTGAAAAGTCTAAGAGAATCTAACTTACTAAGTGTGTTGAGCATTTCTTTAGGTAGCCAGTCATAATCTACATCATTGGGGTTTGAGGTGCCAGTTTCAACAACTGGTTTCCTGCCCACACGTTTGCGCCCAACAGAGTACAGGAACTGCTGGCCAAGAACCAGCAATAAAACCACGCAGGCAGCCAGAAACACATACAGGAAAAATGTTTCTCCGTCCAAGCCCTCCTCTAACTCCACAATTTGGACAGTTTCATTGTACACAGCTTCTTGATACACACCGCCAGCCTGAAAAACAACAACACTCAACATCTTTCAATTTTCCATCAACAGGCAGAGTGACGTACACAGATAAGAAGGGGAAAGATGGAGACCTTTGACTATTAGATTTACAAATCAAAAATATTTTAAATTTTTGTATTGCTCTGCTGATACCACATTAGTTAAATGTTGCAAATTAATTGGTTCATATTAAATAAAGGATCATGAAAAAGAATGACAATTTTTTGATTTTATGCCAAATTTTTTGAACTTTATATCAACACTATTTTCAATTCTAAAGAAAATCATTCTATTTGTTACTATATACAATCCAAATTATGTTAAATCCGACAATATGGTACTTTAAAATTCAATGCAAATGCCAAGTTCTTCGTTACACATAAAATAGAGTCAGTTGAACTTATAGCTCCCTAGTAATGGAGGTACTTTATTTCAAAAATAAAGAAACAAAAACCAACAACTACAAATTACATAATACCTTAAATGACACACATCAGAGGTTCCTTGAATAATTTCATATCACATGATATCATTGTGGAAGTATACATCATAGTGCGCCAAAAACAAAATTCCATTCTCACTGTCAGTGTATTGACAAACACATTAAAAAACAAATCCTGTTTATCTTACCAAATCTCTGTAGTTCAGGTTAATGTTCAGGCCAAACGGACGTCCAGCAAAAGCTTCCGCAGGGATGAACGAGTATGCCAAAGTGGCTTCATGGTTTGGTTTCACAACTCTGTTGTAGACAATTGTGGAAAAGTTTTGAATATAGAAAGTAAAATCCATTGGATATCTGAAAGATGCTTCCAAAGTCTCTAATATAAAATCTTGCTTTCCCTTATTATTGAAGCCAACTAAGAACTCCACAATATTCCCTGCAGGCAGTTCTGAAAAAAAAAAAATCTTACTAAGAGACTAAAAATCTTTTTCTAACATCTGCTAGGTTAATTTTAAAAAATTCAGAGGTTCCTTGGATAATCACTGATCACTCAAGTTTAAAAAAGTTGTGCATCATTATGCCAATTCCAATTCCATTTAAAGTATTTCAACATTTTTACCAAGATTCCCAGAGGTAGACTGCGTAGGTTTCGTGAACAAAATCGTGGTGTCTGCATCAGAAGAAGCTCCTGGCTGTGCCTCATCGTCATCAGTCCCCTCGTCGGTGACAGATGTTTCTTCACTTTCTCCCTCAACGTCCACCATTTCATCTTCTATATCCTCATCCTCCGCAACAGCAAAAAGAGTTTTGCTTCCTGTAACATAACACAATTGAATAAACAGTATAGAAATGAGCAATTGCAAAAAAAATTATTCCCTCAAAGGAAATTTACCCCTTTCTAATATTTACTTTCTGGAAGAGAAATTATGAATATGAAACCAAAATTTGTTTGCATCACAAATGATTTTCCAACGTTTCTTACCACTAGCTTTTAACAGGCACATCAGAGGTTCCTTGAAAAAAATCACATAATATATTTTAAGATCATAGGTATCATCATTGTGCCTCTAAAAAAGCACCCCGATACACATGCAGCAAAATTTACCAAGATAGGTATACGAAAGTCAAGCACAGTTTTCATTTAACTTTAGTCTCAATTAGACGATTTAATGTAAGGAATTTGATGTCTTTGGCAATAGGTAATATCGGTGTTCATTCATAAATATTGAATATGAATGAGAAATAGTAAAGAGCACCTTTAAAATTCAAAACATATGCGATTAAGCGCACGTGCTATGACTTATTTTACGTGGATCTGAAAGTGCCCAGCACTTCCTGTAAAAACAAGAGAAATAAAATTTATTTTTGTTTGTGCAGCGAGTTCTACCTGACAGTTAAAACATTTAAATGCCCAGTGCCACGTACTGAACATCTTGATTCATCACGCCAATGGCCGATGGATAAGTTCTTATATTACGCTTACCATTGTCCACAGTCAAAATAACAGCTGGAAGAATAAGTAGGGCCAGCAAGAATAAATTCTTCATGACTGCAATATTCGCGATCAAATATACTCTAAAATCCACTCCTCACTTCTTCCACATGCCACACGTCACAATCCCGACCAAAGCACACCGGGCGAGTAAGGAAAGGAGAAACTGGCCTACTATCATTAGTCCCCCCACCACCTCAATAGGAATTATGGGTACACACTACATAACGGTGGCATCAACGTTTGGCAACGTGGAACTTCATGGAGAAACCTGCGGCAAGAGGCACCGGAAGTCACACCAAATGCACAGAATACCATTTTTTTAAATAGTTATCAATCCATCTCGCAGTCTGTAAGAAAGAAACTAAAATCCGATGGTGAGGGTATATATGAAAAGCACCGGCAGGTAATCAAACTCACTTGGTATCAGTGACATCAAGCGGTGAATGGGAGATTTTTTGAGACATTTTCGGCAATAGAGTCAGTCCAGAAAGTCGTCACAACGGTTGGCGGGAAAGTTTTGGATGGCAACCTCTTGGTGCGCGTAAGCGACTCCTAGAGAATTACTGTTTTTTAGTTGTATTATGCAGATACCGAAGTGTGTGTGTGTGCCTTATTACATTTGTTATTTACAAAGATATTTGCTTCCTTTCGGTTTATTTAGGTTCTGGCTGCTCTGAATTTCGTTGTAATAAATATATGGTTATTTAATTATGTAAATAAATATTGACCTTTTTTATATTTCAAAAAAATGTTTACAGTTTCCTGATCTGAATTCAAATTTTAATGATTGAATTTCAATATTCACGTCACGCGTATAAAATAGTATTTGTTATCCCCAAATGATTTTAATGTCAACATTTTTTATGAAACGTATTTTCAATATCTTTTGTTTGACTAGTTTTGATGAACATTTCATGCCATTTCTTCCTGGGTTCCTGGTTGGGTGACTAGCTGGGAACCAAATACTATAAAGACTATAATATTTGTAGGAACCCAGGGATCTAACGGCGTGGAGCGCCTGGTCGAAGGGATAAAAGACACTGACTGCGGCGTGACGAGACTTGTGACAAAGATAGTAAATGAGAATTACTCCCCGCAAGGACCAAAAAGAATTTAAGAGTCACGTTGCGCCAATGACAGCCCAACGAATTCGCATTAAAAAATACAAGGCCACTATTTGACAGCCCTGGTGACAGAAGAAAACAGTTGAAATGGTGACCCACGTAATATTTAGGTTTGGCTTATACACAAATGAAGTCTTGACGATTAATAAAATTGTAGTGGCTCATATATTATAATCCTGTGTTTGTGCAACCCGTTCAGACAATGCGAGTATTTCCAGACATTATATGTTCTTTAGAGGGTTCTTTATATTATTGAAAAAAAAATGTGGAAAATCTACATACGTTTCTGAGAATGATTAACATTGTTTGTTAAACATCTGAGAAAAGCGTTAAGAAGTGTGATTTGCGAATTATGAAGATATGCGGAACCTGTAGCATACTTTAATTTGAAACAACCCTCTAACTTTTCTTGCTTCAAAGCAGAAATCTAATTTTGTCCTCTTTGTATTTAGGGTGCTATAATTTTACATTCCTGATATTTGGGAACAATTGGTAACTAAAAAAGCTTACTCTGACTCTCCAGTCAATTATCGGACACAACTTTGCTATTGTAAATATTTTTTTAGAGAGAAATAAGAACATCTTTCTGCGAGAAAATAAAACAAAACGTTTTTAAACTATTATAAGTTTAGGAAAACCTCCAACGGAGAATGATCACGACGTTTTTAAAGAAAATGGACACTTATATCGTGTTTTATCCATAAGCTTGTAGCACCGAATCTACTTGAAGCACATCTCCATAGAGATGTCCAAAACACGTGACTTTTGGTAGTTCGGAGAGCAGCACCGTCGCCTCTGGGTGGCAAACGGCAGGTTGCTACAAGCCGTGAACTTACGGATAAAAACCGCCAACGAAGAATGGTCTCGACGTACTAAAATAAAATTGACACAAAAAATATTTTAAGCATTAGCCGTTTCATCTATCATCTAACGGCCCCCAAACGCGAAAAAAATCCGAGGAATGTTCCTTCATTCAGCGCGTTATGCTGCCGAAGCTAAGTGAATCCAACGTTTTTTCTACATAATCCCATTATGCTTCAACATCATAGTTGAGACCCCATGCTACAGACTTCGTGTAATCTACCAAGCGCGTTATAGCAGCTTCCGTGATAGAGCGGCAACAAAAATTCTGAGGGGCGTTGGCCCGAGAGTATTAGAATCAGTAAACGCACGTGGTGTTTACAAGATTTGATACAAATACAGTGACGGTGTAAAATATATCCCTACGCATGGTTCAGGTGCTTAGCGGTTTTCACAGACAGACGGACGTTTTGAGAAGAACCACTTTCACCACGGTATCAGGGGACCCCAAAACACGTATTTCCGTTGAAATTTCGAAATCGATTTTCCACAGCATTAATAATTCTCCCTATACTGTTACTCTGTATACATGCACGTATACGGGAAAGTAAAAACAATGCAATTGAAGTTGAAAATAAAATTTCAATAAAGATTTATTCAGAATTATCTAGATTTCTTGAAACAATTCACAACACTTCCGTACAAATATTTGAAGTAATTATTCAATATTCTTTGACAGTTAGCTTTTCGTTTTTCGTGATAGTCACAAAAAAAGCATTTTACTCTTGAGAAAACTATGTGTCAAAAGGCTGACCTGAAAGTTCCACGGAATCACTGCAGATAACGAAAATACTGATAAAGGTAAAATACAAACCAAATCTAACAAGACACGTATTTACTCTTCACTGTACACTCTCATCTCAACAATGTACTATCACAATATTAATAATGTACTGTGGCTTTTGGCCTCAAAATGTTAGTTTTAATGACCCTAGACCCTTTTTCGTTTAGGAGTTATTTAGCGATATAGCTGATTGTGTGCTATGGGTTGCATTTGACATGAATATTTAGATGCGTTTTTTTAAATCAAATCCTTCGCCTTTTTAAAGTGAAAGTGCAAATTCGTCACGTCTCCGTGAAACTCTCTTTCTTTAGAGACCTCATATCTAAAGATCGGTGGCATATGAGAGACGCAAAAGGTATGTATACTACTGAAACATTATTGGAGACGATAGTATCAACTTGGATATTCATTTCCAGAGAGTTCAGAATATATTGACTGTAAAGAATGTCCTGGCATTAATCCATGTTAGCTGATATAAATGGAGTAATTTTAGATTTTAATTTATCCGTAACTATCGATTCAAAAGGCTTAGGTTTAACGCGGAGAATAAATATCGGTCTATAATTGGATATTTCATTTTTAAAGCCAGATTTATGTTTCGATGTGATGTGTGTAAATTTCCAATTTGATGCAAATATTCCTTTATTTTGCGAGTTTGCAAATAAGTCTTGTAAAAGAATGAGAAGATAAAATTACATTTAACCAAAATAATTTGAGGTAATTCCATCAAGACCTGCTCCCTTGTTGATATCAAGTTGAATAACATTAAAATTGAAAACAAATTCGGCGTTTTCCTACAACTACAATTCTGAAAGTACACTTTTTACTTTCCCGTATACATACATATATAAACGGAGTAATATACGTAGTACTGGGGAAGTTATGCAATGCGGAATAGCGATTTCGAGATTTCGTTGGAAATACATGTTTTGAGGTCCCCTGATACCGAAAAAGTGTTTGCTCTTTTTTCTTTCAAAACGTCCGTTTGGTATCTTGAACACTATTAGCATCTAAATCATGCGTAGGATTTTTTTCCATATTGAATAAACCCGTGTTAATCTGGCTCGAGTCGAATCTTGAGTTTGAAAAAAAAAAGTTTAAAATTTGGGGGTACTTTACATGAAGCCCTCCGGACAATTTTAAAATTTTATCAAAAACAGCTTCAATTTTTTTCTTTGATTTATTGTAAGAATAGAGTAACATACACTTATAACTATGGCATAGGTCCAATTTTCACGATTAACTCTGAATTTTCGAAAATTTAAAAAGTATTCTGTGTCTTCCTACAACTACAATATTGAAGACAGAGATTTTTCCTTCAAATGAAATTTGTTCTCCGTAGTGCGATCTTTCATTAAGGTCGTGCACATTTTTTTTTCTGAAAATTTTAGTAGTCTTGCGTGCTTTAAGTGCAATTTAAAAAAACTACAAAATAAATATTTTCTCGAAAGAGGCTCCAAATTTTATCTTTAAAATTTGTGTAGGGATAGCGCATAATTTACTCTATAAAATGACATAAACGCCATTTTGTTCTATACTTTTGAATTTTCAAAAAATACAAAAATTTAATTTTTTGACTTGTCTCTCACGTTGTTAATATTTACATTAGCGGCAATTTGTTCTCATTATTATATTTAAGAGTACATGTGATTAAAATAATGTTAGATACATTTTCTCGAAACTAAACTAAATTCTGTGAAGACTAACTCAAACTTCCGCATTTTCAGACACGCTCAAACGACATTTTTTCAAAAACGGCTTTAGTAATCATAAATTTTTTCTTTAAACTTTTCGAAGGGATAGTGCTAATTTCACTGTTTAGTAAAGTACGTAAAGTTCGTTTCGGTGTATTGTTTTTTTTTTTTTAAATTACACAAAAGTATATTTTTATGATATCTTACGACGTTGATATCAACAAAGCCAGCAATTTATAAACACAATTGTATTTGCGAATTCATGTGTTTGAAATTGCGTCTAACGTCTTATTAAGTCTGCTTTTCGAGAATTTAAAACTTTTCTGTGAAAAGAGGTTCAAATTTAGAATTTACAGTGTCACTTGAGCGCCGTTTTCTTAAAAAACGGCTCCAAATTTTTCAATGAAAATTGCATTTAGGGCGAGGTTTTACTGTTCTTCAATGTTCTTAAAATAATAATTCTACTATTAGAAAACCGAAAAAAAATAAGAAAATTAAAAAAAAATAGTACTTTGGGCGGGGATAGATGGCAACTGGCAAGAGTAAGTGATGTGGCAAGTCCGGGTTGATAGCCGAGACCAAAGGAAATAGAAAACTAATATGGGAAAGTCTGTGCCATCCTGTAACATCACTAGTTTGACTCGTTTCTCACGTTGATTCTATTTGCATTAGCGGAGATTTATTCACATTATTGCGATACCACAACCCAAAATAGTTTTTATTACCGGGGTTCCACTGTATATATTTTTCGATATATTTGCATGTTTTCCAACGCTTTGAGTATTACTGAGTTGTAAAATGTACATGGTACCC